GCACCCACATAGCCAACTAAAATCCACTTAAAATCTGAGAAAGCTTAAAAAGGAATCCTAGACACAAAAGAACAGAGTTAAGCGTGGCTTCTTGATAGCCAACATTTTGTTGGTAAGAGAGGTTTTCCTGATTCAGCAGTAGCAAAAAAAAAGCAGAGCTGTTTTGAAATTGTGGCTTCCTGGGCCGTGTTCCGAGCAAACTCTTATGAGATTCGGCAATTGAGCATTTAAATGGTGTTTGTGAACAGAGTGCTACAACTTGCTTAAAGGCAACATAGACTGACTGTGTGCTTAAAAATGAGGCTGTGAGTATGGCTCTCAGAGGCAGCAAACAGCTCCACCATGCTGGACCGGGCAGGGCAAACAGGCAGTGCCGTATTTCCCCTAGTAGTGGTGCTGCTTAAATTCATAAGAATCATTTAGCATTTTAAGAAGCAGTTCTGGTTAGAAAAGAATTTCAGATACACAGTAGGACAGATTCAGACACAAAAGGCCTGTAAACGAGACATAGTGTATTAAAAAAAATGTACATAGGCTTGCGACAGAGAAGAAAAAGAGTATAGAGAGTTATAAAAGGAAGTAAATGGTTTATAAAAAAATGAAACAAAGTCTTTAAAGAGACAGAGTACAGACTGTCATAGACTAAGGGAGTAAAGATAATAAAATAAGCCACCTAAAGATGGAAAATACACAGAGAGTCTGGATTATATATATCACTGTGTTTTCTTTGAATTTTTTGACTGTGAATGAGCTAAGTACAAAGAGACATTTCATTGCATGGGCTGCTAAGCTAAACCAGCATAGATATTTTAAAGGTTTCTTCTCTTTTTTTTTAGGTTACATAATGCTTTATTAACCTTGAATTTTCTTTTTTTTACATTTAAGTTACTCTAGTGATGATTATATGTTTGCTTCCATCAAGACACATATACAAATGAATACTTTTACATTGATTTCCAGTGATGATCAAGTCTAAATCCAGGAACATGATAATCAAGTACTCTACCACTGAATTGCATACCCTTTTTCCAGCCCTAACCATTCTTTTTAAAAAAATATTTATTTATTTATTATGTATACAATATTCTGCAGGCCAGAAGAAGGCACCTCATTACAGATGGTTGTGAGCCACCAAGCCCTAACCTAACCATTCTTTACCTAGGATTTCTTTATTATTATTATTAAAAAATTTCCGCCTCCTCCCTACCTCCCATTTCCCTCTCCCTCCCCCCAATCCCCTCCAATCCAAAGAGCAGTCAGGGTTCCCTGCCCTGTGGGAAGTCCAAGGTCCTCCCCTCTCTTTCCAGGTCCAGGAAGGTGCACAACCAATCAGACTAGGCTCCAAAAAGCCAGTACATGCAGTAGGATCAAAACTCAGTGCCATTGTCCTTGACTTCTCAGTCAGCCTTTAAAGGTTTCTTGACTTCAAAATTTAAGCCTAAGGATAAGTTTCTTTGAAAAAGAGGTTCTTCTTTTGTTTCTGCAGAAGATGAGAACCTGTGGATTTCTTCCAAATTAATGTGATTTGATGGGCCAACACACCTGAAAGGTCTCCTTGAACACCCCCCAAAAAATTACTTCTACCAGCAAACAGCAGGAAGCAGTTTGAAGAAGAACTACACCCATATTCCCAAATATAGTTTATAAATGTTTCTTTACATTTAAAAGGGGATATGCTATAGAAATTTGCATTGGTATGGATCTTGGTCTATTGACATAAGCTTAATATCAGTTTGTACTGTAGGAATTCCTACCACCAGTAGCCATTAAGTTACCTGCCCACTTGATGTGACCTCTTAAACTATTTATGCTGATGAAAGTACATGTCTGACCTCTTTTCTGGCTGCAGAATTTGGTTGCTATTCTCTGTTTCAACAGAAGATTGTGATTTGTGAGTCTACCCCTAAAAAATTAACCCTCTATTATTCTCAATTCTGAGCTAGTGTGGGATTTCTTTTAATCATCCTTCTTCATCTGATGCCCAATGTGGGGTTCCAATTTGTTGGAGAAGGGTCACTTGTTGGTTCCTGGCCACCTGGCTAGTTTAGACCCAAAATAATCACACAGAAACTGTATTAATTAAATCACTGCTTGGCCCATTAGCATAAGATTCTTAATGACTAACTCTTACATATTAATCTAACCCATCTCCATTAATCTGTGTATCGCCACATGGCAGTGGCTTACTGGCTAAAGTTTCGGCATGTCTGACTTTGGCGGCAGCTCCATGGTGTCCCTCTGACTCTGCCCTCTTCCTCTCAGCATATAACCTAGCTTGAAGAAATATAGATTAATAGATAATCATCTATAATAGTCAAGCTTATAGTCATGTTAGTTAGATTTCTAGATGTACAGAAATGTATTTCACATGTATAAGCATTCTTCAAACCTTTCAAAGATACAGAATATGGCATTTAAAATGTTTTAAAAACTTAGGACTTTTCATGACAGTGAGACACATCTGTTCCTGGCAGCACCAATCTACTTCAAGAGGAAGATGGGCATCAAAGAGGCTCCTTATGGAGTTTGCCAGCCATTTGGGCAGAAAGTGCTCTTGCCTGGACTGCTTGATGAACTGAACATATAGGACCCATGTGGAGTTCTAAGAAATTTGTGAAAAATGATAGAGGATGCTCACGTAGTTCAGGAAACTGTGCACAGCTCTCATGTATCTGGG